TTGCTCTGAAAGCATAAGAGTTTGGGCATTCTTCAAAAACGTTAGCTCACCACAGCAGCTGCAAAGCAACTTAATTGCATGGTGTGATCTGAAGAATTTAGTAGTGTTCAAAAGATGGGAAATAAAGTTGGATGATGGACACTATGAAGGCTTGGGCAGAAACCAAGTGATTAGTCAATCTTTAATTTCAGAGTATTTTCAAAACAGGTTATTCAAGCTACTTATAGTAGTGAAAAGCATTCTTGCATTATGTTCTCAGTTATCCATTTCTTTCATTTCCCACAGTTCAAATTTCAGCTCAAATACAAATTCAGCTTGAAATACTTCCTCCTATATTCTTTAAGTTTGTCTTTCTCAACCTTGACAACTTAATTAATATACCTGGGCTTCCACCCCCAGAATGTTCCAGTCAACATGATGGCAGGGGAATTCTGGGAGTTGAAGCCCAAGTATATTAATTAAGATGTCAAGGTTGAGAAACAATGATGTAAGCCATCATGTTTGTGATAACCTTTGAGTAATTTAGAGATCAGAAAGATTTTCTGGCCTTCATGGAAACCAGTAGGACTGATTGTGATGTCACTTGAGTAAGCAACAATATTAGAGATTGGGTAAATGGACAAAAAGGATCCTTCTTAAGCCTCTTATGCCTTAAATTCCCACAGCAGGACAACTGACCCAATTTTGGAAGTATTAAAGATTTCTAAGAAGTTACTAAGGGTCCCTCAGTTTGGTACAGTTTATTGACAATAAATACAAAACAACATCGATTCATCCATTGAATTCATTGTAGAGAATAAAACATGTATTATATAGTTACTGTACAACATCTGTAAAAAGCAACAAAACATTTTGAGACAAAACTGAAAAATTTATATTGTAGAACATGCATCTCTTTCCAAGTAGTTGTAAGAAACAGGAATATATTTTCAGGAGACAGGGCATCAAATAATGCAGATTAATTATCCTCTATGAAAGTGAGAAATGATAGTTTAGCAATTAATAATAGCAACATGAGGTCAGAAGAGATATTTTGATCTATGCATATTTATCAAAGGATTATACTGGATAAATAGTATTAAAATGGTTTGTAAAATTGTTGTTGTTGTTGTTCAATCACTTCTATCTCTGACCTGATGGACTCCATTTTGCCAGGATTGTCTATAGTAACTGTTTGAGTTTTTGTAAACTCTTGTTTGGGTCATTATATATATTTGGCTCATGGTGATATCTAGCTATGCCTTTGATTATTGCCTCTGATTTTTGCAAGCATAAGGGTCTTCTCAAATTATTCTTGCCTTTACATTCTGTATTCAAAATACTAAGTCTTAGTCTCATTATTAGTGTTTCTCATGAGCAGACTTTACTTCATCTAGAATTATTTTATTTCTGGCAATCCAAATCAATTCTTTTCTCCAGCTCAGTACATTTTTATTCATTCAGCCTTTCTGATAGTCCACCTTTCACAAATGTATTAAAACTGATATGTCTGCATGTCAAAAATTCTGCCAACCTGTTAGACATTGTCCCAAGTAGCAGCTACTTATTTCATGGCAACAGTCACTATCTCTCTGAATTTTTGAGCCTACAGAAAACAATTGGCTACTCTTTCAATTTCCTCTCTACAGTATTGGCATTGAGTCAGCATTACTTGACATATTCTTAAGATTTTTGTTTTTGTTTAATATTCAGCAGCTGATTGGCTTTTCTACTCTCCTTTCATCTTCAACAATCAAAGAGGAATTATCGAATTAATCGAATTAAAGTGACAAGATTTTCAACCTTGGTGCACTTTCTCAATTTTGAAACATTTTGTTGCTCTATATTTTAGCTGCTGCTTTTTGGTTATCATACAGTTTCTTCAACAGGGAGATGAAGTGCCTCAATATATCAGTTTTTAAGTGGTGTGCACCTTCTGCTGTATTCTACACAGTCAAAAGCAGTAGTATAATCAATATAGTAAAAATTAACATCTTTTTGGAATTCCCTTCCTTCTTTAATTATGCATTGGGTATTAGAAAGAGGATCTTTCCTTATATATGCAAGGTTTCAGATGACATCAAATGTACTCTAAGTCTTCCACTGCAATGTCCAGTGGCCCAAAATTCCCAATTTTGACAGCTAAGTCCCTTAGAAGGTCTCTGCTAAGGAGATTGAAATGGAGGGTACAACTGACATGGCTCCAGATCCATGAAACAATTTCATATTTTCAAGGATAAAGATATTTCTTTTCTTCATTACTGCAATGCTATAGGAGGCAGCAATCCTGCTAAGGCTACACTAAAAATAAATATTTTTGAAGGAATTATGATGTTTCTGTCCAGTGAAGTGAAGCTGGGGCTGGCTAGGGAATTCTGGGCCTTGAAGTCCATACAGTCCTAAAGCAGTCAAGGTTGAGAAACATTGTGTACGGTATACAGGCCTTCATAAGCAATTTATTTGCAATGTGAAATAATAACAAAATCAAAATAGAGGAGACCTTTCAGTTTCCCAACATAACTATAATTTCATGCAAATCAGCATCAAATTGGGTCAATCCACGCCACGAACTTCTTAAAGAGAAAGAGGAATTTCATGGCAAAATTCGAGAGGTCAAAAAACCTTTCCAAAGCCAAACAGACCTTTGAAGAAGCTCACTTAGAAGAGTTCACAATTTATGCAATTCCAGCCAGTTATGGAGGAAGACAAGAAACTATACGTCAGTGAAGCTGTACATTTTGATCTCAAGAAATGTTACTCAGCAAATTACCTCCTTTTACTTTCATATAGTTGTTTTTTCAACCACAAAAGGTAGAAACATACTTTAGAATATATTTAAAGCCAAGATTGTATATATATAAATAGAATACTGTGACTAATACTATTTTTATGTTTTTGAAATCTATTGTTCTTTTCATTTTGCAGTTATGTGAAAAAGAAAGTATGGGTAATTCATTTAGTGACAGTTCAAAGTTACAACAGCACTGGAAAAAAAAAGACTTATTTTTCATATTTATGATCGCTGCACCATCTCCATGGTCACATGATCAAAATTCAGATGATTGGCAACTGACACATATAAATGACAGAAGCAATATCCCAAGGTTAGGCAATCACCTTTTGTGGCCTTCTGAGAAACAAAGTCAATGGGGAAACCAGATTCACTTAACAAGTAATTATAAGTAATTTGTAAAATGGGACAAAACTAGCTTAATAAATGTCGCACTTAGCAACAGAAATTTGGGATTTATTGTTGAAAGCAAGGACTACCTGTACTCTGTCTTTGAATTCTATTGTTTTACCCCTTAGGACAGTGGTGGCTAACCTTTTGGGGCTGCTGTGCCAAAAACTGTGCGTGCACACGCTTGCATGCCAGCACCCAGAAGGCAATGCACACACACACCCATGCCACCTGTGCATGCAACCCACCCCCACCCCCTTACCTGCACTGCACCTCACAGCTGTTTTTCGACTGGTTTGTGGCCTTTTTTGGCCTCCCAGAGGCTTTGCAGGCCGAATAATAGGCCCATTTAGTCACTTCCGGTATCACAGGAAGTTACAGAAAAATCAGTTGTGTGGCGCACACATGCGCAGTGAAGTAAGTTTGCCTGCAGCTCGCATGCCAGCACAAATAGCTGTGTGTGCCACCTGTGGCATGAATGCCATAGGTTCGCCATCACGGCATTCGACATAGTAAAAATCATCTGGTTCTTAGCAGTTCTTAAAAGTTGGCAAAGCATATCAGCACAAACATCTCGTATCAACTGTTAAGCAGAATAGTGGAGAGATGATGATTTGGGCTTGTTTTGCAGCCACAAGACTTGAACACTTTGCAGTCATTGAGTCAACTATCAAAATACCAAATATACCGTATACCAAAGTACTCCAGAATCAAATGTGAGGCTATCTGTCCAATAGCTAAAGCTTGGCTGACACTGGATCATGCAACCGGACAATGATCAAGCTCACCAGCAAAGCTACAACTGATTGGCTGAAAAAGAAAAGAATCAAGGTGTTGCAATGGCCTAATCCAGGGGTGTCCAACCTTGGCAACTTTAAGACTTGTGGACTTCAACTCCGAGAATTCCTTAGCCAGCTTTGCTGGCTGAGGAATTCTGGGAATTGAAGTCCACAAGTCTTAAAGTTGCCAAGGTTGGACACCCCTGGCCTAATCAAAGTTCAGACTTCAACCTGATTGAAATGCTGTGGCGGGACCTCAAGAGAGCTGTGCATAAACAAATGCCCACAAACCTCAATGAACTGAAGCACTGTTGTAAAGAAGAGTGAGCCAAAATTCTTCTAACAATGATGTGAGACTGATATTTTGCTGTTAAAGGTGGTCCTACAAGCTATTGAATCATAAGGGATACTTAGTTTTTCGCACACCTTCTTCATCTGGGCTTGCTTTTTCTAAAATAAATGATGACATGGTGTAATATGCAATTGTGTTGTTGTTCATCCGAGGTAGTATTTACCTACTTTTCAGAACTGCTAAAGACCAGGTTATTTTTTTACTATGTCCTGATGTGTAAAACAATAGAACTCAGAGAGATTGTACTTTCTTTTTCACATGACTGTAGGTGTTCAGTATATCTTTTTTGTTTCAGAATAAACATGATTGGAAAAAAACACTCTGGTAAACATTAAATTTACTATTTTTAGTACCTTCAAATTGGTCACTGTTGTTCCAGTATTCTGCCTTTATAGAAGCAATAAATACTGGCTTAATGATATTTTTACAGATGTGATTCATTTATAATATTACCTGTATACGTTTAGTGGTTGCATGGAGTGTTTAAATGGAATTACTAGGAGCACCATGAAATATTTTGCATGGTTCATCCAAATTCTTCCTAATAAACAATGATAACAGAAGAAGTAAGGAATGTGCTAAATGAAGCAAAAAAAAAAAAAAAGATATACCATCTGCAGTACTTTGAATAAACTTGCAAATAAACAAGCCTGAGCTCCAGATTTTCCTTAACCAATTCCCTAATCTCAAGAAAGGCACATATTTGTTCACTGAGATTGTGTTTATTGACAAAACTTGTTTACTGCCTTTTCCATAAGAGATTTAGAGTCCTTGTGTATTGTGCATTCACACGTTCAACAAATTGAATTGCTGTTCGGTGTTGTGATTCTTCTTATGAAAATACTTCTCTATTACCCCATTAGCCATTCTATGACATTATTTTTGTCCCGTCAGTTTCCAAATTCAGTCTGAAAAGAAATGAGAAATCCATGGTTATTTAGCAGTCTTCTTACAAGCCGAGCATGTAAGCAGAGAATACAATAAAAACATGTTTATCTACAAATATTTACCACCATCCTGCAGAAAAACTGTGATCCAAATGAGTTTGTCCATTTATGGAAAAAAATTACCTGCTGAAAAGTATGTACAATGGGATCTGCAGTCAATTCTTTTTATTTGAGGATTATATATTTACAAAAGTGCCTATTCACTAAATATATTTGTTACTATAAAATCAATAGGGTACCTGCAGCGTTTTCATTTGTGAATATGCAGAATGGTAAAAAAAAAACAAGTCACCCAATGTACACATTCCCAACTGAGGTTTCAGTTTTCGCAATGACTTCATAAAACACAATTCTAGTTATAGTCCTCATTCAGTGATTGTTTGAAATGACCACAGAGTTGAACAGGAGGACTTATGACCATTCCTCATAGTTGCATCCATTCCAAGCAGTCACATGATTGTGATTTGGGCACTTAGCAATTGACTCGCCATTCTAATGGTTGTTACAATGTCCCATGGTCACAAGATTACTATTTATGACCCTCATTGATGGCTTCCAACAAGTGAAGTCAATATGGGGAAGCTGGCAGGAGGTTGCAAGTGCTAATCACACGATCAGAGGATGCTGTTAGTGTGTGAAATTCTCCCATCCATAGCAACAGATACTGCTACTCTGTGACGTTATGCTTTACAACCACATCCATTTAGCAATGGAGTTGCCGGTCCCAATTTCCCTTATTAAGCGAGGGCTACGTGGACCATGAATAAGCATCCTCTGTATTTTGAAAAGTCTCAAATAATGGAAAAATAAACAGTCCTATCCACAAATTTACACCCTATATAAGTCAAGACAGAAAAGAACACAAGAGGAAAGTTAAAAAATTTTGGAGAGATTTTCAAAGAGGAAGTAGTAATATGGATGTCACAGAGCAGTGATTAACAGTGTAATGCAGGGGTGTCAAACTCAAGATGTGCAGGCCGGATCTGGCCTGTAGGATGCTTAGATCTGACCCATGCTCTCCCCTGGAAACAGCAAAGGACTGGCCCACAGTGCCTGTGCCAGCAAAAACAGCTCGGGAGGGCCATGCGTGGCCCTCCTGGGCTCAGTTTTCAGCCGTGACAGCCTCCTGCAACTCTCTACCAGTGAAAACGCAGCCCAGGGGCCACATGTGGCCACCCGAGCTCTGTTTTCGCTAGCAGAGGGCTACAGCAGCCCCCCCCCGCCCGCCCAGGTTCCATTTTCACTGGCAGAGTGCTAGCAAAACAAACTAAAAACAAAACAAAAGGAGAAATGTTTTCTCTCTTGCATTTGAGCATTCAAGAAGCGACAGGAAAGGAGAAAGGGAAAGAAGAAAGAAAAAAGAAAGAAGAAGGGAAAATGAGAAGAGAGCAAGGAAAGAAAAATAAGGAAAGAGGGGAAGGGAAAAAAAGGAGATTGAAGTGGGAAGGAAAAAGAAGAAAAGGAAGGAGATTATAATGAGAGTGAGGAAGACTCTGAGGCAGGTCCTGACTTAGCACTTGCCCAGCACAGGTGCCCCCGTTACGAGTGACATTGAGCTGGCCACGCCCACCCTGGGCAAACATACCCTGAGGTCAAACACAACCTTGATGTGCCCATTAATGAAATTGAGTTTGACACCCCTGGTCTAATGCCACTAAGAAGTTATATATTGGAAATCTGAAAAGTAGGAGATAAGAAAGAAAACTGGAGCTAAATAAGGAGCCTAATGGTGAAGACAGTTTCTGAAGACAATTATGAAGAATGTGCAATGAGAAACCTAATTGGGCAAAAACCAGAAAAGCAAGAAATGAATAAATAAGTTCGACAATATTCAATCCTCGCAGTAGAGGGCAATAAAACCACAGCAATTTTGCAATGATGAGCACGTCAAGGATTTTTGGCTGCTAAAAGTGTACAGTCATTGAAAACATTCCAAAATCTCAGGGAGAAGGAGCCATGAAAGCATTCCCAAGGAGAAAAATTAATATTTATTCTAAACTATATCTAGGATAGTATCATTTCCCCTTCCCATTTTAAAAAGGAAAACAAGAAAGAAAAGAAAATGTGACTGCATAGAAAGATTTAAAAAAAGGAGGGAAAATAACAAGAATGCTTAAAAACGAAAGAACAGAAAGGCTATCATATGCAGTCTTCAAAAATATTTGTAGAATATCTTTGTCAAATCACTGGTTCTCTGTCCAATTTATGCATGTAATATCACTAAATATAAAATGAAGTAAGCTCCATTTGAACCCCTTTGATATCCTTAGAGGAAGGCAATATTTACATGCTCTGAATGAATGAATGCTTTATTTGGCAATCAAAAGGTAAAGACTACGCTGCTAGTATATAATCATATTTCTGCTTCAAGAAAGGAAAATCAGAAATTAACTCTCAACAGAAATATATTAGTATCAAAGAACCAAATTCAAAACAGAGGTGCCTTCTGCAGACTCCTTTTAAGTCCCTTGTTAAGGTCTCTTAACAGATATTTTTAAACAAAAGGAATCACCTAAAGCAGAGGTGGGGCGCTATGGCCCCTTTATGATTCATGAACTTCATCTCCCAGAATTCCTGAGCCAATGTTTCTTAAAGTGAGGTTCAAGGACCCCTAAGAGTCTCTCAAGATCCTCTCAAGGGCCCATGAAATCAAAATTATTTGCCAGCCTATGTTACAATACACTACTAAAATCCCATCAAACAATTATGGGAAGAAGTGGCAGCAGCATTCAATTTTTAATTAAAAATATGTAAATATTCAGAAACATAACCCATACAAACAAAAGCCCTTTTTATGGTCATCCATAATCTTTAAAAATGGGAAGAGGTCTTGAAAGGATAACCTTAAGAAAGTTTAAGAAAGAAAATGACCTAATTAAAGGTTTGTCTCAGTGTTCATGCTATTATTAAAAAGACAACAGAGCCTCTCTTTGAGGAAGTGGTTTAGAAATATGAAATACAAATAAATAAACTTATTGTTTTAATGATGAAAGTGGCTATAACTGACATTTTCAAAATAAGATACTATACAATGAAAATTAAATAATAAAATTTCTGATCATTATTAAAAATCCTCATCCCAATTAGGCTAGTAGACTAAAAGAAAAAGAATATCAGCTGAATCAACAAACCTATAACAATGTGTCTATTTTTTAAATAATAATTGCAATTAAGGAAACACAAAACAAAAACTTTCAAATGCTAATAGCAGAAGTCATATTTTTCAATATTTTATATGGAACACATTCAGATGTTGGGTAATCTAAAAAAACACAATCATTCCACAGATTTTCCCTTTATATTTTCCATATTCTTTATAGGGTCTAAAATAGAACAGTCACAACTATTCCTGTGCAAGTTTTCAACAGGAATAAAAATATTGACTCTAAATGTTGCAAATAAAGAAAGATCAATATGAAAAACCTTTGCTCTTTCTGATTATTTTGTGCTTCAGACTGTTCATAAAACTGTCACTTTTCAGTTTTTAGAAAAATGAAACAGAAGTATTTCTTCCTGACAAGCAATTCTGATTGCGCAGGTCATAAATGTGCTAAGAAAAAAACAACAACTTTAGACTCAATATTTACTAGTGGGAAAATAATCCTGCAAATTTCCCAAAACCCTATATTGTAACCCCAAGAATATATCTAATGCAAAGGTAGCAGCAACCTGTGGACTAAGTGAGACTTTTCTCTTCCAGCTTCATTTTGTAGCTCCCATGCTGCTGAATTTCTGCAGAAAAAGGCAAAACTTGAAAGGATAATGTAATTAAGCCCAAACCAGAGCCATTAAATTCTGTTTATGAAGTAATATTTTCTCTCAAAGCAACATTCCAAAAACTAGGGAAACAGGCTCAAAATTTTACCTTCCTCCTCAATCCTTTGGACTGTCCCTTTTATATCTTTACACTGTTGTCCCAAAGCAGTAAAGGAATAGAGATCCAAATTATTTGACTGGGTTTTTGCACATCCCAAATATCTAACATTCACAGAATAATAGCTGTAAGGGGCCTTGGAGGTCTTCTAGTCCAACCCCTGTTCAGGCTTCTGTGATGGAGTTCAAAGACCAGTCATTGTGCAGGGTGCCAAGATGTCTGATTGCCCAGGCAGAGTTTATTACATTTTATAGGGTTTTTACAAGAAGACAAAGGCAACATAGATACAGCATTTGGATTGGTGAAAACCATCAACCAATCCTTAAGAATAATGGTGATGTTAGTAAGGTGAGATCATGTACAAGTCTGGGACTTTCCAACCCAAGATAGTAGGGAATGAGATCATGTAAAGAGGCCTCTGTATTAGACACCGCAGTGTGCTGCTTCCGCCATCCACAGGATCTCTATTGCTATTACACTTCTGTAGCTACTCACTTGCAAAAGTTCTTGTTGTGGGTTCTTTGATACCCGATGTACCATCATCCTTGGCCTTTTGTAGAGCTCTTCATTGTTTTCTTCCCCAGCATAACATTTCCGTTTTGGAGAAGTACAGTGGGATTGCCTTAATGCTATAAAAAGGCAAAGAGAAGAGATGCCATTAGATCTCTCCTCATCTTCTAGAATCTCAAAAGTTGTCATTTAGGCTTTTAAGTGTTTACCATGCTAGATAGAGGGTACATATGGGAAAATGCAAGAGAAAAAGTTTTAACTGTAGATTTCTGTTTACCATTTTGCTTCAGTTTCTCACTGAAGGTAGTACAATGTGATTTTCCTTTCACTTTTAAGCAACTATTAGAATGCACAAATCATTCCAAGAGATTTACTGAAGCTATATTAAGAATGAAAGTGGTCTAATGCCACTGCAAAGTTGCATAATTTGTGGAAACCACTTGCTCACTTGTATTGTTGGAACCTCCATGGGCTGAAGAAAGGTCTGTGGTTATATTACTGAAGTCCTCTATACAGGATGGGACAGAGGCCAATAAACCTGGAAAACAATGACATCTCTATTAAAGAGCAGGCCTACATTTTCACTGCACCTTTAAGTACATTCACATATACACACATGAATGAAAGGGAAAATATATAGCTCAAGGTTGAACTGTGGGGTCCTTGATGCTCTCTAAGCTTAGTTGCTTTCTTGCAAATGTTTCATTACCAAACTACACAACATCATAAGTGCTAGCAGGGAGTGGGATTTACTCTCATTTTATATCAGCTTACTCTGTCAGTATTGATGGGAGTGGTCTTAGTAGTTACTTGATTAGGCTGTTTTTTTACTGTTAATTTTTTTATCTGAGTTGGTAGATTCTTGATTGGGGCATTGTTAATTCTTGATTGTTGATCCAGTGTTAATCTTGGTGTTAATCTCTGCTCATTTGAGTGTTGATATCAAATGAGAGCAAATCCACTCCCTTTTAGCACTAGTGATGTTACCTAGTTTTGTGTGTGTGTGTATTTGAATGTTTGTATGTTTGTATGTATGCATGTATGTATGTATGCATGTGTGTATGTGTCCCAGAGCTGATGAGACATGAGCAACATACAAATGTAATACATTATTACAAAATATCAAATATACATACATAGGCCTCTGTAGCGTGAGAGCTGCTGATAAATCTGCTTCATGCGTTCAATGTTTAGTCGACTGGTCTCTGCATGGTTCACCATGGGTTTGGGATAGTTTACCCCAATTATACATTTTGCTGCCTTCTGAACTGACCCAGGGGCATTCCAGGGCTCGTAGATATAGCGTGATGGAAAATCTTTCAATTGGGGTAGATACCGCCTATAGAATAAATCAATAAGGATTATTGTTAATTATTGTAAATAATTTATATAAGTCGCCGGCTAGCCCAATTACGTAAAAAGATGAGCTTGTATTCTTATTTAAAAGATGTTTTACTCTACTTATGCAAGACAGTGTCTGTTTGTGAATTGACAATCAAAAACTGTGCTACAAAAGGGAAAAAAAGGGGATAATGCGAAAAAGAAGAGCAAATATTCATTTTGGCTTTAGTGTGACAAAAGCCGTGGTGACCTCAGCCCTTATGCTCACCTAATGTAGTCACCGCTGGGATCTGTACGACGCCCAAACCCAACAGGACAGTAGCAGTGAAAAAACTGCTGGAAGAAAGCACTGCAGGAAAGCCACATCCAGCTGCCTGCATTTACACTGAAATCTGCATCCAGAAGCAGCTCATCAAATACCTGTGGAAAGGGAAAGAGAGAAAATGTGAGGGAAGACTTTCACGGTAAGCCTGAGTGGTCAGAATCAAGGACTCTGTTCAGTGGCTGGTACAATTTTGATGTGAGGGAAAGAAACAGATTTTTAGACGGTGGACGTATCATGTTTGTTGTTGATCTTATGTCAACTGTTTTGGAAGCCTTGTTAGCTGTACAAAGTTCTGATGTTTAGTGAAACTGATCCCGGAGAATGAATGCAATTAACTGCTGTGTATTTTATTTTGTATATTTTATTTTTATATTACTCTCCTTCCAATGAAGCCAAGAGCAATATATACCATGTTGAAGTATTAACATTCATTTTCCATAACATGCCTTGATTAAAAACAATCTGTGTTAAACCAACCTCCATAAAATAATAAAACATTATTTAGATTCAAGACAAAAAAAATACCAGTCTGATCTTGGGGCAGTTGTTACCTTGCAAACACATATTGAAATGATATTTTGAATAGGAGAGAGGAGAGGAGAATAAAGAAGTCTTTAAATGACAGAATGAGCTGAGGCAACCAAATTTGCCTCAGGAGAAAAATCCATAATTGAGGGGCCACTATCACTGAGGCCATGGTTCTATCCACCATTCTGCAAGGTAGGCCCACTTTTCCTGCTGATCTTAGTGCAGGAGTTGGGAAGCAGGCCTTTAAATATCTGTATTCTGAACCTCTTGGTAAGACTATGCTATCCTTTGAATTTGAAGGCACAAAAGTGCTTCAGAAGCAGTCATGTATGTAGCGTCTATTTGCAACTCCTTGAAATAGTTGTCCCTTTCCTAGGATTGTATCGTTGCCGATTGCAGTACTATGTGGTTTAAAGCATTTAAATATTTAGGGAGTTGCGAATAGATACTACATTAGTATCCCACACATTTCAAAGGATATTTTTGTTACTGAATCTGAAGCCCTGCACTGCTGTATTACTTGCATCTTTACTAATGTCAACACAACCAGCTAACGCAGCACACACATCAGTACTATACATTCACGATTAACTACCCCAGTGGTTAACTCATCAGCTGATTTCTGCAACTTGTGGACTGTTTTCAATGGTAAACCATGTAGCAATAATTCAGTCATGAAACTGTTAGAGCCGAAAATAAGCTACTGTATTGGCTCCAGTTAGGCAGAGTTGGCACAGCAGTGGAAAATGGATATTATATATGTGTGTGTGTGAATAGAGCTGCGGCGATGCAGTAGTTAGAATGCAGTATTGCAGGCAAACTCTGCCCACAGCTAAGAGTTTAATCCTCACCGACCCAGCCCCTACCGACTCTGTGGTCAGTAAAATGAGGACCCAGACTGTTGGGGGCAATATGCTGACTATGTAAACCGCTTAGAGAGCTGTAAAGCACTATGAAGTGTTATCTTGTGCTATTATATTATAGCCATATTAGCACTATGAACTAAGTATCTACAGAAACGCTGAAATGATATATAAAAAAGCCCAATGCCACTAAATTATATTCCAATTGAATTTGGTTTCTGGGAATTTGCCTATATGTTCCTATCATTTCTGCTAAGATACTATTTTCAAATCTTTCATTCACTCTTTCATTACTTAAAAAGAGATTTTTATCAACACGATTCTCCAAGATAATACTTTTCCTTTATAAGAGAACAACAGTTTCAATTCCTCATGGTCTATATAACCACTCTTTCTTAAATAATCCTCCTCCTCCTCCTCCTCCACCAACAACAACTGTATTTTTTTAACACTTCCTGACATGACTCACCCTCACTCCAGATTCCCAGCTGATCCAAAGGTCACCTCTGGTTAGAAAGCAGGCAACAGCATGCCGGGCCAAGTGGTGAATCCAACCTTCCTGCCTCAGTTGAGTCATAATTGCATCAATCCAAGGGAAGCCTGTCTTGCCTTCTGCCCACTTTGCCAAGGCTTCAGGATTCCTGTCCCAGGGGATCTGTATGCAAATAGGATTTCCTTCCATGCGATCAAATTTAGGATTATTTGTGGCAGCTGTGTAAAAAAATTCCCTCCAGAGTAATTGGCCATAGAGTGAAAGAGGTGGAGTGCTGTTCCGCTTCACCTAAAGAGGGCAAAAAGATTACATCATATTGGATGATTTCTGTCAGTCACCAAATCAATTCTGAGGTAATTTTGATTCCAAATTAAATCTACCCAGGGAATAAAGTTTTAGGAAACTTTTAATTGGAGAGCCAAGTATTTTGAAGAAACATCCACTCCGGGACCAAGGCAGCAAGCCTATTTAGAATAGAACAGTTCCACTGAACTCTTTACCACATATTTGATAATCTGATAAGATTATTTGCTTCAAATCTTTTTTGTCCACTGAAAAGCAGGACATTCAGAATAAAAAAAGCAAAGCAGTTTAAAATATCTGATGCAAAAGATAATCCTAGAAAATGTCTAAAAAATATGGATTGAATAATTAATTGCATTGTAAAAGCCATTCTTTTAGATTTTATGTTGCTGTTGTGTACATATTTCCTATAGCGACAAAATATATGCATAATTTAAAAATAATACAGTTTTAAATGTGGTTTTATTTTATTTATTTATTTATTTATTTATTTACTTACTTACTTACTTACTTATTTCCCATAGTTATTATTTTTACAAATAACTGAAGTGCTAAATGTATCCAACACACCTTCCTCCTCCTGTTTTCCCTATAATAACAACCCTGTGAGGTAAGTTGGACTGAGAGAGAGAGTGACTGGCCCAAGATCACCCAACCATCTTTCATGGTTACAGCAGAACTAGAACTCACGGTCTCCCATTTTCTAGTCTGGTGCCTTAACCACTAGACCAAATTGGTCATGTCATCATTTGTCCACATATTTGTAATTTCTTATTTATAATTTATAATTCAATCGTATACTGTGACTGAAAAGCAACCTAAAAAATATGAGTACTCCTAGGTAAGGTTCAACACTATAGTAAAGTAGAAATAAGTCTAAGGAACATAATACCTGGAAGGTACGCATTGTTACAAGTAGAAATAAGTTGGGAATTAATATATTCTCCAAATCATTCCATTTCCATGTGTCCATATATCATCTTTCCAATTCCCATTTCCTCACCTTTTTATAAAGTTCCCAAAGCCGATAATAGAATAAGCGACAAGACAAGCAGCCAAACCGAAGATAGGGACTCAACCCTGTGGGGCTGGCCAATAACGAATTGGCATTCATCCTTGGCCGTTCATAGTTTGCAACCCATGCCTTGAAGATATTGGGACAGAAACAAATAGATGTGAAAATAAAAAAAAATAAAAAATACAGAAATTATTTCATTTATTCATTATTATAATTAATAAAGAAGATTCAGCACTTCTTGATTAAAAATGTTGCTTGCTGTTTTGACCAAGCTTATAAATATCTTCAAATATTTATACATGGAAATAGGAAAAACATCTTAGCAATCTAAAAATAATAACAGAGCCTGTAGCAATATCTGACATAGAATATCTGACTCAATTTTTTTTAAACACAGGCCCCATGTTTCATCACAGAACTAAATTAATCCCCATGGTTATCTAATAAAACATGATTTCTTTCAGCACAAATAACTAAGATCAAATTAAATACAGAATGAAGGTTGATCTAAATTGCCAGGAAAAAAATGTACATGAAAGATTAGCTTTATAAAGGCATCAAATGGATATTCCAGTGTCTTGAGTTTTACTTTTACCACATACTGAGGCATAGCTTAAGTCTTGCTCAAGTGTAATATATAGCTTAATCAAATTTTCAGGGAGGTGGCAAGATTTATACTGAATTAGAATCATTGCCTGAAAACTACATTTGATGATAATAGTAGTAGTAGTAGTAGTAGTAGTAGTAGTAGTAGTAGTAGTAATAATAATAATAATAATAATAATAATAATAATAATAATCCAGTTAAGTATCTATAATAGAAACATTATGGAAAAAGGATTTGAGGGGAGGAAAGCACAAATATTATTTTGGATTGCGATATTTCTTTTATGGTATTTCTCAGCCATTACAGCAAAAGGATTCTATGCATATTCATTAATACATGGTACATTTATATCTCAAAAATGTAAGGCTCAGATGACTTAAATGACTTAGAACAGTGGTTCTCAATCTGGGATCCATGATGCTATCATACATAGTTCGCAAAGGCTTGAAGAAATGTTATGATTTAAATTTAGAGTTAAGTCTTGGGCGTCCATGGCCATGTCTATGACCACAAAAGGTATTTAAAAGGGGTCCATGGTGAAGAAAAGGTTGACAACCAATGACTTAGAAAACAATCCTTCCCTGAAAGGATCGCAACAAAGATAGGGGCTGTTACCTTTCTTTCCAAATGCTTATCCAGACGAGTTAAGGCTTCAGTCTCCCCTCCCTGCCAAACAGTTGGAGCAAGTCCTTCAGTGGGAAAACCTGAGTGAAAAAGGAGTGCATCTATTAACTTACTATTCAGGCAGCATGATTAATATCTCAAGCTGTCTCAGAACCGTTTGCTGCCATGTTTGCTAAACCACATGCAGAACTGTTTAACTTAAAATGAATACCTGGAATGAGTCAAAGTACATCTTTAGAAAAAAAGAACCCTCATCTGATACATGCATGCAGAAACTGCAACTTATGCTATTAAAACAGAAAAATATCTTGTTCTTTTTAAAAATCCTTTTATCATAGGGTGTTTTTTTTAAAAAAAAGCTCTTATGTGAAAAAAAGGTAGGGGCTTAGGAATCGAAATGGCAACAGTCCCATAGAAAGTCCTGGTTTAATAATGGTAATTAGGGACTGTAAAAATAGACAGAAATTATCTGGGTGCAAATACATACACACAGTCATAAAATTTTTTTAAAGATCAACTTTCAACTGAAAACAGATCTTTTCTTGCTGGATTAATGAACAGCCAATTAGAAAATAGCCACAGAAGATCATTTATCTATTACTGCTTTGAAACTATTATATGCACAAAAATGGAAAGATTCTGAAATATCCACAGTGGAGGAATTGGTGAAAATGCCAGACCTAGCAGAGAGGGAAAAAATAATTTATTTCCAGAAAGATCCACAACTACACATATCAGTCACTGGAAACTCCTTATGGACTGTTTGCTAAAAAAAGAGAAAAGTGTACTTGATTGATTTATGGCTTGGAAGATTAGAAAAGGAATTGGAATTAGAATTAGAAAAGGAGAAAATATGATGTAACTTTATGAAATAGGATAAAATATAAATGCGTTTATAACTAGGGTAACATACGTCAGAAGCCATTTCATAATCAGAGAATACATATTAATCATCTATTGATTGCCATATAATAATATTATACTATATGGTATTCTATTCTCAACATTTCTATAGATCCAGATATAATGGCAAGATAATAAAACTTAAGAGAAGATTAATAACAGCAATGGCTGCTGAACCATAGCTATTTTTGTGCTATGGTCAAAAGATCAGCAGACAATTAACTACCTTGTGAACTTCAAATAAAAAGGAATGATAGTTAAAGCCAGTCAAACATGCTAGAAACTTCTAGCTTCCTAAATAAAATTTTAACAACTGGGAAACATAGTAATACTGTATTAAAAGTTCTTTGAAATGTTCTATAATCACAAAATGGAAATCAGAGCAACACAAAAATGTTTTACACATTGCATACTAAACTTAATTACAAATACTGCTTATATTTATATTTGCCCTGACGTATCAATTTATTCATTTTTTATTCTGCTACTTAAAAATTATGCTGCACTTTCACGCAGTTCTGGGTTTAAGATATTATTCCGTTTGTCACCGTCATTTTATTGTACTTTTATTTTCTGTTGTAAATTTCCCAAGCCTTCTTTTGAATGCTGGGATAAAAAAATCACTAATAAATACTATTTTGCTGAATTATATAAAAACAGTTTGGTCACTTAATTATTAAAATGTATAATAAAGTATAATATAATAATATAAAGGATTTTTTTTACTCTTTGCATAGCATGAATAACTATAATGACCTAGTGGAGGATATTTATGTAGCTGCCTATAATCACAGAAAAGTGAGATGAGTGGCTATATAAACAGAATGAATGAATGAACAGAATAATATGGGCACCACTTAAACACCTAAAAGGATGGGTTAGGGACAGATCATCCTGGAAAAGGGCTATCCACGCCAAGAATTAACACTGATTATATCAAATGGCATATAATCAATTAATCAATGGACACCTGACCAGTTCATTTTCTAAACTCCAGAATGTGTAGATAATGCAAAGATTGTTTTGAAACCAAAACCAGATCAGATTAAATATGAAAGGCACCACAGCCCATCTAGGAAGTGTTCCAAACCCACCAAAAATTACCTAGTTCTTCTAGAGATGGTACTCCATAGGTTTCATCGTGGTTCTCTTGGATCTCTGTCTTGTACATCTCCATTTGTTGGCTTGTTATGGTGCTGATTGGCTTTTTTGGCAGGTCCATGCGACTAATGATGGCCTGAAAACGTTTGTAAGTGAGGGGTGGTTTGTGTCCATTCAGCTCAATGATCCTGCAGGATAAAGAAAAAAGGAAAGAACAGCTTTGTTCCATGAGATGGGCAGGAAAAGTATACTGTCAAAACCTCCCTCCCTCATTTTTTTGTTTATCCATTTATTTACTTCCTTGTTTATAGAAATTGTTTCCTTCCTTGTTAGCCTTCTAGAAGTGACTTTTCCTTCAAACATTAGGGCTGGAAAGTTAGAGGAATTTGGTTGATTTGTCTGTCTGCAACTGATTTGCAAGATGGAAGCAGATTTTTTTTTTAAAAACCCATGGTGCATTATATTATTCAGCTCTGTTGGACCAACAGCTGCAGGACTACTGGAAGAAAGGTTGTTTACCTATCACAGATATACAAACACTGAAAACAAATGTTCTATTATTTGCTTATTTGCTATTACAAATCAAGTCTAATGGGAAAAGGATAACCAAAATGCACCAGTTCTGGAAAAAAAACACCATCCAGAATTAAAACTAACCGAATAAGAGGTAGAATACCAACATTGACTTATAATACAAAATATTCACAGAAGTAAATTTAGAAGAATCACAAAGTCATTCCTGTTTTTCTGAAAATACCGGAAGTGACAAAACGGGGCTAGATTTCGGCCTACAAAGCTTGTAGAAGCCTGAAGAAGCCTTCCTCAAGCCTTTGGGAGGCCGAAAAAGGCCTCAAACCAGCCAAAAATCAGCCATGAGGCACGCACATGTGCAGTGAGGTAAGTTTGCCTGCAGCTTGTGTGCCGGCAAAAATGGCTCTGCATGCCACCTGTGGCACGCGTGCCATAGGTTCTCCATCATGGACCTAGGGCAAATAAATCAAAGCCTTGCCAAAAGCAGCTCATATTGTAAAATCAAGGTGAATCCAGCATTCCTATAGAACCATTCTCACTCTCAACTCAATGAAAGTTGAGACTGACGTGGCTTTATCTGTGTATTTGCTGTTTGCCTCAGGGTATTAAAACTAGAATGGTGAAAGGTTTTCAGTGGCAGCCTTTATTAAACACAAAGCAAGAGAAGTCTTGGAGTGTATATCTCCTCTCCCTCAATGTTATGCAATGTATTCAAGGACTTTGACTGTACATTTATATTGTTTCCTTTTTGGGGGGAAAAGTTGCTCCAAATATTGTATAACAACATCGAAAAGAAGCTAAAGCAGCATTTATGAAGGCAGCAGTCAAATTCCTTAAAAATAGCAGGAAGATATTTTTAGGATGTTTTTTTAGGAAGTACTGTTCATATGTGATCATGAACAATTCAAATAACTTTGTGAACCTTAAAATAACATTTTAAAAATTGGATCTGCATCTGATTTTGAAAATTTATTTGGGTTGAGCTAAAAAAAAAGAATCAGTTGCATGTGCTTTTCTTCCTCCCAATCTAGATGTAAAGGGTTACAGTCCCCCTCCTCCGTACCCTTATTTCCAAGAGGTAGCACCTTTGTAAATATTTCTGTTGCCAGTATGTATGTATATGAACTACAGAAAGAGAGAAAAACAAAAATTCTCCCCCTTTTTTTTGTTTTTGTCATTATCTGTGATTTGAGGGGTTTGCTTGGGGATAACTGTTTTATTTCCAGGACTTTATAATCTATAGCTTACACTCTCTGGGTGCTATGCATATATATTACCATGTTTATTGTAAGTCCTGTAATGTACTGTACTGAGTATAAGACTATTTCATTGAAAATACTTATAGGAGGAGTAGAATACAGTCTATTATCTAAAACTAGAATGTATTTTGCTAATATTAGATACATTTAATATTTAAATAAGAAACTTCCATATAGTTTGCTGCTGAAGAAGCCTGGATTTATTTATTTTTAAACTTATTTTTAAACTTTATTTTAAACTTATTTCATCACACTAAATGATGTCATTATTTAATTTTTTTGGACCTAATTCAGCATAATGTCATAATTCCATATTTAATGGAAACTGGATTGACAAGGCATTGCTGTCCCCAATTAAACTATTAAATCTACATTTTCATGTACTAAAAATTCTACTTCTTGAAAACCAGTACATTAGCTCAAAACCAAGAATAAAAAAGATACAATGAGCAATGTATTGAAACTAAATATGCAGTAAGTTATATTTTCTTTGAATAACATTCTAAGTGTCAGGAGTCTTGGACTAGTGATTTGGTGGCCCCCACTTTTATGAAACACAAAACTATATTTACATAGTTCAAATTGGAATAGCAGAACTTGGGGAGGGGGAAATTCCTGTATAAATAGGGAAGTGTCAAAATCGTGGGGGACTGCATCGAACAAGTTTATTTATTTTATTTGGTTTGTCAATTGCTTACAAGATAATAGGTATAAGTAAAAACATAGCTATGAATACATGGATACATATAAGGAAAAAAAAAAAAAAAGGACAGGGACGGTAGGCACATCGGTGCACTTATGCACGCCCCCTACAGACCTCTTAGGAAAGGGGTGAGGTCAATAGTAGATAGCCTAAGGTTAAAGTTTTGGGGGTTTGGGGAAGAAACCACAGAGTCAGGTAGAGTATTCCAGATATTGACCACTTTGTTGCTGAAGTCGTATTTCCTGCAATCAAGTTTGGTGCGATTAACCTTGAGTTTGTATCTATTGTTTGCTCTTGTATTGTTATGGTTGAAGCTGAAGTATTCATTGACAGGTAGGACATTGCAATGTATGATTTTATATACTATACTTAGATCGGACTGAAGGCGGCGTAGTTCTAGGTTTTCTAGGTCTAGAATTTCAAGTCTGGTGGCATAAGGTATTCTGCAACGTGTAGGGGAGTGGAGAACTAGGTAGCTTACAATTTTTGCTCCCAGAGGGAAATCCTGTCATTCATTTAACCAAAGGATGAATTTTTGATGTCACTGATAGGTTTTCAAATGCAATCATTTTCAAATCCTAGATTCCTGATTCAGTTCTAAAGTTAAATGTTCTGCACTGAGTCAACAGATCTGTAACAAACTCCAGAATAAAATAGAGCACAGCAAAGCAAAACAAGAACGCTTAGAGGAAGAAAAAAAACAGGTAAGAAAAGGAAGAGTTAAACAGAAACAGCAAGAGTGAAGCTGCCGGTCTTATATAAAATCATGAAGCAGCCAAACAAGCTTTCTGCCCAAGCTCCTGCAGCCAATCTTCCTTGTCACCCATTTATGCAAACGTTGCTTTCAATCCAGACATGTGCCTGATTTTCCTCCAGGGTAGCACGTGTGATGGGGAGGAGCTCCACGTTGCTTAGCCTTTTCAACGAGCTACATTCACGTGCCTGGCTTTGTGACCCAACTTTCTAACAATGCATAGCATCCACGAAGGGACCGTGTCTTTCAAACCAAATGTCAATCCCTCTTCAGATAACAAAGCTAAAAGCAATCTTCAAAAACGAGCTTTTCTCTGCAATTAGGTGCATTATAGAGCAATGGTGTGGCTATTGAATACAAATGGGAAACCAGGTTAAAGAGCATGTTCTAGTTTCTGCAACTGCCAACATATTGAGCATTAACATGTAAAGTCAAAGCAATCAGACTCTTTAGGAAAGCCGCTTTCCGCTGTAGTTCCTCAATTTTACTATGATGGACTATGTAAAAACAAATTTGCTAGAATACCCAAGCAATTCTACAAATTAGAACTCTAGAAAAAAGTTCCTCCTTTTACAAGAGCAAATCTGATCTAGGAGGCAAAAGCTAAAAATAGATGGGCAGTACAAACAACATAAGCATTTCTCATTTTCAAAGGGATACAAAAACCTCTACAGCTGAAATAAGGAAAGTTCACAACCGGTTTCCCACCCCTCCCCATTATATGCAATATGTTGCTTCATTCACAGAAACCCTACAATACAAGGCTTATTTGATTACAGGGTTCAAAGCTGCATTCTAAGCAGCTTCTTGACTGATTAACATTTAATACTGGTAAGGGATTGCTATTCTTAATGACCACCAAGATAGAAATTTTCCAGACAGCCCATCTTGGAGTGAATCCAATATTTAGACAGCAATATTTTATAAGCCAGAAGTGTGATAAAGTATGAGATGGCTTATAGCCCTGCACAATTTTAGTATTGTGGTCTGCAAAACTTCCCCCACTCTTGTAACTGCACAAAATAGATCATTTCAAGAGCTAATCATCATCAATTGAGGTTCTCTCTCTCTCTCTCTCTAGATTAACCCTTACTTATCCATTACTGCCAGTCAGTGATAAGAAAACTTGAAAAAAGAAATTAAAAATCATTAAGAAATAGAAAAGATATGTGTTTTTACTATCCCCTGAAAAAGTTAAAAAGACTTCATAAAAAGGGCGTTGGTACTTACCTGATACACCCGTTCTCTGTGAACTATGAAGAGCATCCAGAAGTGGGAGGTGCTTCAGTCTCTTCTGCAAAAAGGCTGGGCTTAAAACTCCGGGACGCTCCTCCTCCTCCACGGGACACCTCCCCAGCGTCCCCCAGTTTTGAGAAGACTGAGTGCCAAAGTCCGGAACTCATCACCTAATCTAGATCCCTGACCGGAACGGAACCCCACCAGACGGAAAGAAATGGGTGGGGCTGGATGCTCTTCACAGCTCACAGAGAACGGGCGTATCAGGTAAGTACCAATGCCCTTTCTCCCATGAGCTGTTCAGAGCATCCAGAAGTGGGACATACCAAAGCTTGGCCTGTCCTTAGGGAGGGACTCTGTCTGGATCGAAATCCACTCCTAAACTCTGTGGACCCTCTGCAGGACTCTTCTGCCAAATGAAGTGTCCACTGAGGCATAGACATCAATTTTAAAATTTCTGACAAAGGGTGATGGTGAAGCCCAAGTTGCCGTTGTGCAAATTTCGTCTATGGAAGCCCGAGTGGCCCATGCTGCTGATGTTGCTGCACTCCTTGTCAAGTGGGCTGTAATGTCCTTAGGAACTGAGATGGACTGGCATTCGTAACTTTTAGCTATGGTGGCTCTCAACCATCTACCAATGGTCGTCAATGACACCTTGTGTCCTAAAGTGGATGGGTTGAAGGACAGGAATAGAGCCTCAGATTT